GCGTCAATATGTGACGCCGAGGGTACCTGCCCAAGCGTCAATATGTGACGAGTTGGGAGTGAGAATGTGTTGTTTTATCGGATTAGGGTATTTTTTTTCCCCCCCCCCCCCTCACCTGAAAAAATGTCTTCACACACATTCAACCCAACAAAGTCAGGCTTTATGGATAAAAGACACCTAAGAGATTTTTGAACTATCCTTTTGAAACAACAGACATGCTTTAAAAAAAAAATCACAAATATGAAACTCAATCTTTTAGATATTGCTTTGCATTATGGCTTATTTTCAACCAGTGTGGCTCCAATTTACCATTGATGCAAAAGTGAAGGTATTGGCTTTTAAAAGCCACCTAGCACTTATTACTGGTTGACTGCACATCTTGTTCCCAATTGCATTTGTAATAAATGGTAAATAGCTAGCAAGTTTAACTTTAGAACAGAGTGAAAACTAATTCAGGAATAATTTGAGCTCATTTTGCACTACAGCACGCCTGGAAGAAAAAATTAACTTTAGTGCAACTCTCAGGGTCAGAGGTTGGTTTTTATTTGGCTTTTGGACAAAATGTTCTAGTGCTATTTGCAGATGTTCACAAATACACTGGAATAACTATTACTGTTTAGCAAAAGTTCCCCTCATGCCTCAAACCAATATACCAGAAAAGTTTTTCCTTCACCCTCGGTTGACTGTCAAGCAGAACTTCTGGCTTTTCCAACGGTGGACAGCGCTATGGCTAAAAGGGCAAAAACACACCCAGAAGCAAACACTTACAAAAACGCTGTACATTGTAAAATATTTAACAATTTTTTTTCCTCAACTGGCAACTTCAGGAACAATCAAAAATGCGTAAATAATAAATGCACACACAAACTAGTTCACTTATTCTATTTACTCACACCGGCTTGGTTTTAAAATACTGACTTTAAGCAGCCAAGACTTGTCCACTTTCACTTTGTTGTACTTTTGGCTTTGATGTTGTCCATGCTGTCCTATTTTTTTTTTGACTTTTTCAACAGTTTTCATGAGGACAGAGTGAAATGGCAGTCAATAGGAGACCACAGAGCTGCTTAAATATTAAATGGAGGGACAGTAGTGACACAGAAAATGCAATCTTCTTTTCTTACGGCTTTGTGTCCAAATCCAAATTGCAATCGTGTGGTCGACAAAGCGGTCAAGGGATTTAGAATCAGAAAAGCTCTCTGCGGATGTTGGTTCCGGTGGAATTTATGTGGAGTTTGCATGTGGTGGTTGTTTCAGTCGCGTATCGGGAGTTAGGAGTAGAACCAAAATGCGGACGGGAACTAGGGCTCAGCTTGGTAGCAGAATACATAATGTAGCTGAAAATTTTACAGAATGAACAGGAAACAAACAGGACAAGGAGCTTTGTTAGCATGACAGAAGGAACCGGCAATTCACAATGAAAAACTGGTTAGCTTTTGTACTTATGAACTGCCGCAAGCGAGAAGTATGGTGTTGGATTCACGTGAGCTTAATCAAGGGGATGTGGAACAGCTGTGAAGGAGAGCAAAACGGAGAGATTGAAGGAAGGCGAATAATAACACACAGAGCTAAATGAGAAACATGATTTGGAAATAAAAACTGAGAGTCTATGAGAAAACGGCAAAACGGGGAGGAAAAACCACAAGACATGAGTAAAAAATTACACACAAAAGAATTCACTAATACAGCAAGACCCTAATAACAATAACGTACAGATGAAAATAAATCATCCATGACAAAACCTGACAATAACACAGATTTGAAATGACAGGACATGGGCAGTAACGAGAAACTCAGAAGTGATTCAAAATACAAATTCCAACAAAACACCAAAACCCAAACTACCAACGATCGTCACACAAATTCCAACAAAACACCAAAACCCAAACTACCAACGATCATCACTCTAGTTTTACCAATGAGAATGTCCCGTTTACAGCACATGTGGTAGAAACCTTAACCAAAAACAAATGTGATTGTTGGTGAAATCTGAAGGCAGTTTTAAAAGCCTGACTTAGGAGTGTTTTCTGTATTCACATTGGAAGAATGTGCTTATACAATATTGAAAAAAATCATAAAAAAAATGATTCTTTAAACTTCCACTATGAAGAGTAGAAGATCTGTAGCCAACATATTGGTGTCAAATCCAGCCGCAGTACATTCTTGTAAAGTTAAATTAATATTCCAAAAATATTTTTAGGCTGTGATCGCTCTTTTTTTTCCTAGAGGTTTCAACTGTTTATAATTATGCTTTATTTTGTCCCCACTTAAATATAAACCCACATTTTAAAGACCCATGTTAAATTGCTGAATGGCTGTTTATATTTTTGAGCTGTTTTAAATCATGTAGACTTGACTAACATGATTTCTCCCTTAATTTTTCACACTTTTACTCTTGGACTGAGTTTCAGGGTATCCTTACCCTAACCCTAACCATTCTATTTTCTTATAAAAGTGAATCATAACAGAGCAATGGTGAGCTCTAAATGGAAGTATTAACCTTTCTGGGCACAGAATGTAGCCTTCTCAACTCACAAAAAAACAGCACAACTTGAGATCTTACAGCCACTGACAGAGTACAGGGCGTTGTAGCAATCAGTTTGTGCATCTGAACCACCAATTAGGCAATTACACATGCACCAGTCTAGCATCCACCCAATAAAAGAGGTCAGGGAAACTGTTAAAAATGCCAGTGGTGTCCCTTGGTTATGATATGCAAATTCGTACAAGAGGGCAAATGCACAATTAGATTAAAAATGATTATGCTTTTGTTGATGGGGCCTTAAGGGCACTTAGGGTGCATTCGCAGTTAGTAATCCATGCTCAGCCATTACAGAGCTATTTAGACAGTTTATCGATCAATTACAGTAAGGGGGTCAACAACATTAAAACACAGTCAAACAGCCACACAGTCGATGCCCAGCTATGTATCAACAAAAACCATGTGACTGATCAGAGACAAGAAGCAGGATGCGTTTGTTTCCTACACTGAGAGAGCCCGCCGGTGCACCACGCGCAGCACATCCCTCCCAAGCGTTACGCTGGGAGACTCAAGCAGTCGGCAAGAGAAACCGCGAGGAGGGCGAGAGAGGAGAGAGGGGGAGGAAAAAGGAGCGACGGAGATGGCGAGTCTAAACATGGAGCCGACACCGCTGCTTCGGCTTCTGGGGCTGCTGTGGCTCCTTCTAGCCGACCAAACCACCACGGTCCGGGGTCTGAACGGCGACGAAGACCAGAGCCAGGACACCGAGTGCAAGATGAAGAGCGTCACCGTGTCAGCGCTGCCGTTTCTGAGGGAGAACGACCTGAGCATCATGCACAGCCCGTCGGCCTCGGAGCCCAAGCTGCTATTCTCCGTGAGGAACGATTTTCCAGGGGACGTGGTGGTGGTGGACGACCTGGAAAACACCGAGCTCCCTTTCTTCGTCCTAGGTGAGTTTTGCGACGGGGTGCTCGCAGCGTGGTTCATTAGCGGTTAATTGAATGGATTAAATCCCATTCAGTCTTTGTTACTACACAGAACATCTGTCTGTTAGCTCAGGCCTGGCTACATAGTGCAGTGTCCTTTTTTTAAATGTGTGTTATAGTTGATGGAGCAGTCCACAGGAACAGAAACTATTGGCTTTTAAATCTAGCCACCTACTCTGTGGTTGCTAATTAGCACGTGCAGCTGTTAATAATTATAGCGACACTGCACTTTTTACTGCAATAACAGGCCGAGTAGCATTGTTGTGCTAGCAATATATCCACATCTTGAATTGAATTGAATCATATTACACCACAAAGAAAAAGCAAAACTTTAGTGCTCTGTCTATTTCTTAATTGTTGTTAAAGTAATCACACGGTTCTACTATAAAATTGTATTAAGCTGTTTAGTCAACGCGCGAGCATACTTGTAAGCAAACTTTTTTGACGTCACTGCAACTTTCTAGTGTTTGTATTATTTGGGTAATGAACAGCTGCAGACCAATGGTGGTTTACAGCTTGTGTTTTGATGAGTTTTCTAAAGTCTCTTGTTAAAGCGTTTGACATCCGCTGTCCATGGTTCTGAATTTCAGCTGACGGTACAGATTGCAGCTCTGTCACCGGATAGTATCTGTAGCAGACCCCCGCCCCCAAATAAGTGATTGTGGCTTTACTGATGAACAGCCAGGTTTATTGGAAGTAAACCATGAGTTTCACCGTAAGAGCTGCATGCACAAACACACACACACACACACACTTACACACAAAAAGACAGTGTAAGCTACAAAAACACGCTCTTAAATTGTAACGTTTGAACTAAAAATAACGTTCACTACTAAAAATCTCAACTCCAAATCAAAACTATACCCTATAGTTTGTATACAATAAAAAATAAATTTCAATCGATCAACATTGGAACCATCCTTATTTACAAAATAAACATACCTTGTGCCTCTATCAAGGTGGCCCCTTCATAACAAGATACTTTTTAACACTTTGTTGTAACTTGTCTTTCTGTCCTTAAGCTCTATGACATATGTACAGAAGTTGTCTCACCAAAACAAAGGCATCAAATCAAAAACTGGAAGTCAACCATACACTGTACAAAACAAAATGAAGCAAAGGCAATAAGCACTAAAGACAAACAAGGAGCCCAGTCTGGGGTTATTTACTTATTTGGCTTCTAATTTAAATGATGCCTTTTAAACACTGTATTATCTTTTAGGAGATGCCTCTCTTTTTTTTTTTTTAAGAAAAAATCTTCTTTGTCGAATGATAACATTTTTATAATCTTAACAGTAGGTAGGATATTTCTATTGATGAGTCAAATTGTTTCAGTTTTTCTTATTTTCCTTCTGCAATTTAAGTTCACAAATTACTAATGAACAACTTTATGCTTATAAGTGTTTCTCACTCTAAACCTCTTTTAAAATATGGCATAACAAGACCCTCTCATTGTATATGACAGTTTTCATTTTATTAGAAACTTACTTTATATACCTCAGAATTGTGCTTTTCTTTATACAAGAATAAATTAAACTAAAAGTGCAGTGTATTAACCTTGTCCTGCCTTTTAGTGATTAGTAACCAGTGTGGGCTCTGCCTAACTTACTAATCCTGAGTAAATGGAAAATGTCAGGAGGTGTTAGCTAAGGTGTGCAGCTAGCATTCCCTAGCTTCTTGTCCATTTTAATATTTCTTCATTTGATAAATCGTCTCACAGCATAGTTTGTTTATGATGCTGATTAATAGTGTGTGGATCAAGCTTGCTGAAAATTTTTCTTCTGCTTCTTGACCGACTGACTTTGCCTTGGGCATTCTGGATATTAATTATTACAAGTGTTCTGGAAGTATGCTATGCTACGTAGTGTTCAGGTTCATCACACATATTCTTTAGTTGAGTTTAATAGGGTGTGGACTTGTTCCACTATGCCTTGTCATGTGATCTGTATCTGAGTCTTGACTTTGAGAGTTGCTGTTTTGGATGTTTCTCATTCATTTGTTTTTATGTATGACAGTATAATGTTTCAGTATGTCATCCCTATTAAAGAAGTAATAATTTGAACTAAAAGTCTGCTGCACATTTTAATCAGTTAAATAGTTATTAAACCTACTTTTCATCAAGCCCACATTAGGTATTTTTCTTATTTTATATTTTTCTTTTTGGCTGGCATTCAGTATCTGGGTTTTAAGTCTGTAACCTGAAGACATAGAGTGTAGAACATTCTGTTTGGGGGGTTTTGGTTAATAATTAATACCAATTTAAAATATTTCCCACTTTCCCTTAGCGTTACTACCTGATAACAGCTGACTCTGTATGGAAACCTCTTGACTTTGAGCTTAATATCCGCCAACATGTGTGAATATAGCATGTTCCATGACAGACGGAGGCTGAAAGCGCAATTGAAAAAAATATGGAGCATTTTGCTGCAATATTTTCAAACTTTCAGGCATCTGTTGAAAGCCTTACAGCATATTTAAATGTAGCAACCTGAATTGCAACCTGATTCAGCAAAAAGCATTGTCATCTGAAATAGTTTCTTATACGTTTTGCTGCATTGCAAAATGCACCAGCTCAATTCACGACTGGAAGTAAAAGCTGTGACCACATTGGCTCTGTGTTGGTCGACTTTCACTGGCTTCCAGTTTAGCAGTTTACAATTACTGGTAACTTAAAAAAACTTTAATGGCTTGACACCACGCTGCTTTGAACACGAAAAAGTGGCACCTTCGTTGATGCCTCGCACTTTACCTCTTTCGAGTTCAATATTATTTGTGTTCTGCCCTTTTGCCATTCTTGGTGTTTAGTCGTTTCTGGTGTGCAATCGTTTGTCGTTATTAACATTATCATTGATTATGGATATCTACTGCATGACTTACCTTTGGTGCTTGGCATCTTTGATCTCCAGCTCTCCAAGAATCATTGCTATAAGTGGCTCATACTGGTTAAGACTGCCGTTGGATGTTGCCTTCTACCTTGTTGCCCTGTGAGGATCCAGAGATGGAGCCGTGCACGACAGGATCTCCACCTTCTTAGTCGTGCTGCAGAGGCCCTAGTCCTCTGCGTGCCGCAGTGATCTGTGTGTTTAATATCTGATCGCTTACAAGTAGAAGCTTCCTTCTGTTGAGTGATCTCATCTCCACTCACCGTTTAGATCTATTCCTGTTGACTGAAACCAGGGGACAACAGTGCTTTCTCTGAGCTCCACGCACCAGTCTACTCCTACCTGCGTACATGACCATGGAGGCGGTCTCTCTGCTGCGTTCAATCATGACCTCAGCTGCCGATCATTGTCTTCAAGCTACTACAGCGGCTTTGAGCTTTGACTGTTTGTGGTGGAATATGTATGTTGTTCACCAAAATATACTAAGAATTTCATCAGATTTTTCAGAATTGCTAGCTGAACTGTTGATAGGCTCTATATGTGTGGTAACTTTAATGTTCATGTTTGCAGCCCCTGAAACCAATTGGCATTGAGTTTCAGAACCTTCTGGACTGCTTTGGCTTGTCTCAATCAGTGTCGGGGCCCAAACATAGACATGATCACACACTAGACCTAATCGCTGTATCTACTATAGAGATATGAGACAGATGTATTCCAGATCACTTTCCCGTTATATTTGAATATGTGTCCCCTTTGTGTCCACTCCTTCTGTGGTAAAACCTATGCTCCCTGCACTTCTCCATCACCTCCTCCACTGCAGGACAGTTTGTTGCAGCCTGTAAATGCAGTGAATTATACTCCATTGATAGGATAGACATTCTTCTGTGTCCAGATGAGTTTGTCACGTCTTTTCACTTCATCTGCATAAAGAGTTTGGACCCCATCACTCCTCTAAAGCAGACTTCTACAAAAATCAAGCCAGATCCCTGGCTTAATAATACCACCCGGGCCATTACACAGAGAAGCAGAAAAGCAGAATGCAGATGGAAGAAAGACAGACTTCATGCATCCCTGGGGATACTGAGAGACTGTCTTTTTGAATATCAAAATTATGTTAAGCAGGCTAAATCTCAGAATTTAGTTTCCACCAGATGTAACCAACTACGGGTTTTATTTAGCGCACTTCATTCTACCATTGATTCTTCTACCAAACTTATAAAAACCGCTACAGAGTCTACCTGTGATGATTTTCTAGATTATTTTGTTAGCAACATGGACTCTATCAAACGGACCAATGTCTGTATATAAAGTGTTGTCCAATTACATGTTCCTCCAATGAACTCTGCTGTCTTTGATCAAGCTGGTGTTGCTACTGGCACCTCTTTGAGGTGGTTCAACAGACGAGACCTACCAACTGTCCTCTGGACGTCATTCTCTCCAAGATGCTCAAACAGACCTTTGGTGCTTGTCTCCTGATGGTTAATAGCTGTCTAAAGTCCCATTTGTTTTCAAGCATGCTCTGGTTAGACCTCTCTTTTCCAGTTTTGGGCCAATCTTCTGTTTGACCTTTTTTATCTAAACTTCTGAAAAAGATTGTTTTTATTCAGCTCCAATGTTTTGGAGATGATAAAATCTGATTTTCATATTGAAGCAATGTGAAAATAACATGCTTGAGAAATTCCAGTCTGGCTTCAGATATCGCCACTCAAATTACAGAAAAATATTATTTTGTCGCTTGATGCCAACAAACCTGTTCTGCTGGATCTTAGAACAGCTGCAGACCATCCAGTAATCATTAGTCATTTGGTTCAGCAGTCACTACTCCCTTCAGGAAGCAGTGCTTCAGTGGTTGGAGTCCTACTTATCAGAATATTCTCCATCATGATGGGTGGTTTCAGATTCCTCTGACCTCTGGTGTGCTGCAGGGATCCATTCTGACGCCTGTTCTCTTCTCACCTTGCATGCTTAAAATCCGTGAAGTCGCCGTTTATTACTATGTTTAATGTGAAAATATTTTGTTGTTTTATCTTCTTTTTTATTTTAACTTTAAATTCAGAATTTTCGGTAGATCTTTTTTTTTTT